TGTTCAGTTTTGTGGATTGTGCGGTTATTGTTCAATGCCACTACAGATCCACATCAAAAATAACCTAATGAATTTCTCTAATATGTCTGGTTGTGAAACGTGTACTGATTGCACTTACAGATTGCTCAATTCTAGGCTGTAACTAATTTAGTCAGAATTACAAAACCTGAAGCACATATCATGGATACTTGATTGTCAGATACAATAAATGTCTAGTAAACATGAGAACTATGCATAATGACTATACGTTGATAAGAATAAAACAAAGAACGAATCACATTATTTCATGTAGTGATTATTCGAACAAGATATGCCAGTAGGCATTATAACTAAGCTAAGGATAATGCAGCTTTGTATTATTCTGTATTATTAACCATTTACATGTAGAAAATCATTGATAGTCAGAACTCAATTCACACAGTATGTGCTAATTGCTTACTGTCTTCCAATGATTGTTGAAATAAATTCAATTTCCAATGTGAAACCATAAAACCCGTCGACCCTTCCATGTTCTCACACTAAATTATAATACTGTTGTTTTGAAATGTATATGTTCATAGAGGAAATAAATGCGGAATTGAAAAATCACAGTGTGCAATCTGATCAAGGTAGGATATCGAATCAAAAATACTAAAACTGTCAAATCATTAAATTTAGTGATCGAATGTCAACGTAGGTTTTATGAAAACAAACATGGAGGAAAAATCTTTGTTGGTATGTTATTGGCTGAAAACTATTATTATTGTAATATGTTGGTCGTCCTAACGTAACTCACCTTAATATTTTTATGCATGTTATAAAATGTGAAAGTAACTTTTGTCATATTGGTCGTTACCGTATACTGATATATTTAGTCCTGTAATGTATTGAATTCTCATCTCTCTGCTTGTGTGTATTCCGTTCACTGATTTTAAGTATGAAATAATCAACGTACAATCAAGTTTGTAAGAATGACATGTTAACTCCGTGACTTGTTATTTATCTGCTAATTAATATTTGAATGCATGGTATACATATATCCAAAATAAATGCATGGGGGTAAGTATTTTGCGAAATTAGACCTATCAGACGCTTATCTACAGATTCCGGTAGCGGATGAGTGTAAGCATTACTTGACAATAAACACTCACAAGGGATTGTTCCGATATAACCGACTTCCTTTTGGAGTAAAGACTGCCCCTTCAATCTTCCAACAAGTTATGGACACTATGTTACAAGACATTCCTGGTACCGCGGCTTATCTCGATGATATATTGATCATCGGTACAGACTATGCTGATTTAGAGAATAAGGTGGATACGGTTCTCAGACGCATAGCAGATTATGGATTAAGACTGCGTGCCGAAAAATGTGATTTTTACATGGAGCAAGTCCGGTATTTGGGATTCATAATTGATAAAAACGGGAGAAAACCTGATCCTGAAAATGTCGAAGCCATTAAGTCCATGCCTCCACCGACGGATGTGTCAACTTTACGTTCTTTCTTGGGAATGGTTAGTCATTATGGAGTTTTTCTGCCAGATCTGCATCGCAATCGTGCTCCTCTTAATTGCTTATTGAAAAAGGATACTAAATGGTTCTGGTTCTGCCAAGAAGCATTCCTAAAACTGAAGCAGCTTCTATCATCGAATATTCTCCTTACACACTATGATCCCGATCTTCCAATTATAGTCGCAGCAGATGCGTCGAACTACGGAATTGGAGCAGTAATTTCACATGCCTACCCTGACGGTTCTGAGAAAGCAATCGCTCACGCTGCGAGATCTCTGACTATGACTGAAATAAACTACAGTCAAATTGCAAAAGAAGCCCTCGCGATTATATTTGCTGTAAAAACGTTCCACAAGATGTTGTTTGGTCGGCAGTTCACCTTACTTACAGACCATAAACCTTTACTGACAGTTTTTGGATCTAAAAAAGACATCCCGGTATATACAGCAAACCGGCTACAGAGATGGGCTACCACACTGCTGGGTTATGATTTCAAGATAAATTATCAACCAACAACGGATTTCGGACAGGCAGATGCACTCTCAAGATTGATTGGTCTGCATGAAAAACAAGAAGAAGAGGTGCTTGTAGCTGCTATAGATGTCGAGGCCGAGGTTCACAAAATATTGTCAAACGCAGTTTCCGGACTCCCGGTCACATTTGAAGCCATTAAAGAGGCCAGCAAGAAGGATAATGTATTAAAGATTGTTCGCCATTGCATACTCAACAAATGGCCTTCATCTAGATTACACGGAGAACTCTTACAATACTTTCGTCGACGAGAGTCATTAACAGTTGTCGATTCATGTATAATGTTTAGCCATCGTATCGTTATCCCCAGAAATCTTCGACATCAAGTCATTAAACAGTTCCAAAGCGGGCATCCGGGGATAAGTATGTATTCGAGTTGGGATTACCAATTGTAGCGTGGCGTCGAGTTGAGATTAACTATGAACACCGCTACCAAGAAACACGTGCCAAATGAATCAGAAGGCGAGGGTCGGACGTAACCAAATAGATCCATAAAATCACCGAGAAGCCAAATATCAGAAGACAGTTAATGGACCAAGTCGAGGTTTATTAGCTGGCGATCTCATGGCATCGAAAGGATACCGAGATCGTGCCAGGATACAACCTTGGTTACAGAAGGTAACCGAATTCGCGCGAAGTTACAATCAAAGTGTAAGCGAAAGAAAGGAAGCACAAAATAGCTGTCATTAGCACAGTCAAACAAAAGCACGTTAAAACAAACACTGGTACAGTTGGTTATAATAATAATTGTTTTTATTAAACCAGTCGTGTTCTCGTGATAAACGTGAGTCACTACAAGTAAAATGAAGTCACTAGCTCGTAGCTATGCATACTGGCCGTCAATGGACCATGAGATAGAGCAAAAATGTAGCAGATGTTGGTCCTGTCAAGAGGCTGCAAAGAATCCAACGAGAGCTGAGCCACAACCATGGCCTAAACCGGACGGGCCTTGGCAAAGAATACATGCTGATTTCGCCGAACCGATACAAGGCAGGAATTACTTAGTTGTTGTAGATGCTTTCACAAAATGGCCGAAAGTATATGACATGCCGAATACGACTTCAGAGAGTACCATAAGAAGATTGTCAGTATTGTTTGCCTGTTTTGGGGTTCCAGAGATCTTAGTGACTGACAATGGTACTCAGTTTATGTCATCTGCCTTCAAACGCTTCTGCAACGAGAATGGCATATTGCATCTACAATCTCCTCCATACCATCCTCAGTCGAATGGCCAGGCAGAAAAATTCGTGGATACAACTAAAAGAGCCCTGGTCAAAGGGGGAGGTGAGGGTGTCCCGGAACAAGTGATTAATAAGTTCTTGATGTCTTACAGAGTTACCCCTAATCCGGCAGTACCAGAAGGAAAGTCTCCGGCCGAGTGTATGTTCGGAAGGAAAATCCGGACAGTTTTTAACAGTATGTTGCCGCCCAGAAAGACAAAAAAACCCACGAATGAAAATCGTAAGGTCAATCGTAGCTTCCAGGTGGGTGAAAAGGTACTTGTCAGATCGTATCAAGGTAATAGGAAGTGGGAACCAGGTGTCATAGAACGTCGAATCGGAAATGTGCTGTACCTAGTCCGGAAAGATGTCGGAAAATGCATAAGACATATAAATCAAATGCAAAGAAATGATAGTACAGTGGTCACAGAAAACCGGCTTCCATTTCAATTGCTCGTAGATTCATCTCAGAAGAACCATCATGAGCTCGAATATCGAAAAGACAAACGACGCAGAGAGAAAGCTGTACAACCCTCGAGAGTAATGGACCGCAAGAGGAATGCGACATCCAAGCTTCAGGTGGATCCAAGAAAAAAATCTTACACAACGGACTTTAAAGGGGGGAGGTGTGACGACGGACCACCGGTGAACTCGAGGAAGCTGTAAGAGGCTCATAAGGAGCCGAAGACGTCCCCATCCAATCACCTTTCGGAAGAATGTTCTAGAATTCCAACGTGTAGCTTCCCCATTGGATAATGCTAATAACCCCCTGTACGCGGATTGGAAGACTGTAATGATGATTTCGTTCTCACTAAAAACTATAAATACCTGACAATTTTGTACTATGTTTGACACTGTTTGGAATAATATTCCTTCGTTAGTCTTCTGTCTTCTTATTGCGACTTGGAAGGGTTTGGTGTTCTAGTGCTCAGTTATACGCGGTTGTATCAAGAAAAATCAGCTTTTTCAAGTTATAACAGTATACACATATCCAAAATAAATGCATTCAGCTTCTTAGTTGAAATTCATTTATTGCGGTTCGCCAACACAATGTATTCGATGAAGATCCGGTTCTACATCCCATAACCATCATCATGCAAAACAATGCTAATTGAGTTTAGAGGGATGGATGAACAGTTTGATAAGCTTATCAATACTCGTTTCATCCTATTTTCTGCCACGGTTTCGAAACTTCTATGATCAGATATTTAAAGCAATAAGGATTTTCAATCGCTCATTTAAACAGACGTTCAGTGGATCATTATCATTATCATCGCTAAATTAGTGAATTTACGAAAGCTGTTCAATCTGAAACCAACTTTAACTGTATAGGGAACCGTTAAGATAAATAAACATTCCAAGTTATTTTGTATAGTTTTTGGCACGTTGACACACTCTGATCATTGTGGATACAATAGTCAACGATCTAAATATATCGAGCTGAATGTTAGGTCAGAGGTACACGTGAAAATGGTGAATCTGTGAAATGATTCGAGTAAACGAAGACTGATTACTCAAAGTCTTCAAAAGATTTCTGACGTCACGTTGAATGATTGAGAAAGAGTACTGTGCAAGATTCATATTTTCATCTAATGCAACAAACGGTTAGTTTCTTCTTACTGATCGGGTATTGTCATATAATCCAATATTGAATTCTATTAAATGATCAACAAGATCTGTGAATAATACGGTATTCTATGACATTCATCGCTATATTTGTACTGAATGAGACGTTTTGTGTGTTTCAATATACTTTTAATGCATCCATACAACATCAAATTCTTTGATTACACGGTTTCAGATTTGATAAAGACCATTCATTTCAACAAATTTAAAAGTCGTAAGTTCTCTCTTCAGTCTATTCTACATCATTAATCTGTGATCAATTCAACTGACACATAAGATAGTGATACTTTCAGACAGTTAAATTACACTTTTGAATACAATGGTTTTCTTAGTAATTCGATGAATGTTTCAAATTTGTCTTCTTTACTAGCCTTAGTTGCCGACTATAACTTCACTGATTTGATCAAATGTTTTGAAGAACAAAAGAAGCATCATCAAAGTAAGAGATATATTTCTCAAGATGTTTTCTCGCTCTTTTATTTCTCGACATTTTGCAGTTTACTAATCTTGTAAAAGGTGTTTGCTCGTTTGTCCGCCACTGACACTAGAATGTCGAAAGAGCATTTCCTACCTGTCTGAGTAACATCATTTTACACATCTGCCATTTTAACTTGCACAAACAATTTCAATGTTACATACACATTCAATAAAATGAGGACTGATCAATGGCACTTCCATTGTTATGATGATGAGAACATGTGAATTTGAAATACGTCCTGACAACAAACTTGTAGTAGTCCCTCGATGAGAAGGTGAACAGTTTATGATAAACAGTGAGGTGTGAAACTTGTTAACTAATTAACAACGCAAGCAATGTTACTAACGATGACATCATGCTGTAAGCGATCGCGGTGCTGGTTACTAATTTGTGCTTATCTATATATTAGATAAAGGGATGATACAATGTAATTTGTCTGATTCCTTAATGAACAATTGTACCTGTTTCTCAGAAATATCACTTCACGAATAAACTTCTTGTAACTTCGTGCATAAACATGTGAACATACAATGACATATGGGTCGTGTAACTAACTGAACGAGCATCAGTTTGACATGATTTTATCTTGTTGTTGATCATACATTAAAAATACCTCGGTTTTTGTTTCAATTGAATAGTGGAGGCAGATCGTCTAAATGGTTCACCGTGTTACGTCAATCTACAATCGCAACATATTGAAGGTAAGACAATTCTTTAATGGCTGTTTCTGATTTCATAATGAAATAAGATCAGTACTTGTAATACAGTACTTGTAATATCAAAAGCCTCAACTTACATTAATGTGTTGTATAAGAATTTGTTTCCGATAAGTGATTGTCTTCGTGATTTCGCTATTAACGCTGCCAAACAATCTTTTAATTTTCATATATATTTTCATAAAAGTTATTGAGAAGGTCAATAAGAAATTTGAATCTTACTATGCTATGAAATCGGAATTCAGTTTTTATTCATGTAAGTACAATAAGTCGATGTATTTCAATTGTGTGTGGATGAGGTGTGAATGAATGAATGAATGAATGTGCAACGCGTATTATTCGTTGTTTAAAGTGAACTGTTATGTTATGTCATAGATCATTTGTTAGTCATTTTCATTAAAATGTAGTGTAAGTTATCATTTGTTGGCTGTGCAGTATGATGTTCGTTGTTTGATTCGAAAACGAGTGTCTTGCATTATCCATTTTGAACAATCTTATCCATACCGCGCTTCATACTTTGTTTCTGTCAAGGTTTTGTAGTTTCTATGGTCGGATATTTAAAATATTGAAAGTATTAAATTTCTCAGTGTATTATTATGTATAGTTTTGGATAGTAGGTAGTTTCAAACTTTACACTTCGTTTTCTTTGCGATCGATCAACTGTATACACAATCATATAATCAATGGAAAGCCATTAATATTAATGTTATGACCAGTCAATAGGTAGATCAGTTACAGAAACTCATCGGCTCGTAAAATGTCACTTGAATATTCAAAGTAAGAGGTATGGTGTTCGTGTTGTAGCATTTAATTCAACACTGAGATGCAAAAAATGAAGTTCAACGAGTGTTCATTTAGACTACACCGTACTATCAGCATGTAGATTATTGGACACTGTTGGCTAAAATTAAATTGAAGCATTCGAATTAAGAGTGAGATGTTCTCTAAAATTGTTGAACCTGTATTTTACTTTAAACGATGTTTACATAATGATATTAATTGTGGATTTCACTGAACAAAAGTGAAATTACTGGACTCATTTTATGATTTCAGTTCTCGCCAAATTCGGGTGGGACGATGTTCGTGAAATATAACGTAAGATTGTGAATAAAATTGAAATCATATTATTGAACCAAGAATATTTATTAAGACAATGAAGACTGATATTGTAGACCCAAACCACAAACACACAAAAACAATAAACCATCACTTCTAAACTGAGAATTTCAATTGAGATGAAACATTTCAAGTTGATATGGGATTCTTCGGTGAACAGATATTCCAACGTGATATTTTGATTGTGAAATGTATGTAAATGACTAGATAGGCAATTGTGTCTTGCGGTCACTAATTCGCCAAGTACTTAGACATCAATAAATATCACGTGGTCTATTCCACAATCAGTATTCCACTTATGGATTAGCTCACTCACATTGCTAGTAGACCGTTGACTTATTTCACTAATCCTTGAGGGATCTAACAGCACAACACACCTGATATGAAATCATACTTTAAACATAATCTTGCAATACGTGTTAGAGAACAGCATAAATAGTGCATTATAAATTACCGATTATAAAGGGGTAGTAAAGTATATGGCAATATTGAACCAATCCGCTGAAAGCTTATAAACAGTGGAATATATGAAGGCAACCATTCAGCTATTCGATGCTAATTACACAGCCGAAGTAAAAATGGTAATAATCTCAGAAGTTATTATAAATTTCCCAATTCACCTGATGTTCATGCCCTTTAAACAACAAAATAACGATATGTCTTCGTAAAAATAGTTATTTCAGGCGCAGTACAGACATCTCGATCACAACTTTCTATTTGGTCTGCTGAACGTCGTGAAACTGTCAAGATCCGATTACCGATAAATATGAGCATAGCATTGATTAAAATACAAGAGCATGATGAAAAGGATTACAAATGTCCATTGTTTTCACTGATCGATCCTTTATACTGACTTTTCATGTTTCAATCTGTCGATTACAAACTGATAATACAATATCCCGTGGTTAGTTTATTCAACTGTTAGATGTATAATGAAGAATGTCCCAATCATTCAGTATTTGAAATAGGTAATTTTGGATTCTTAAGTGTATTGACATCTGTGGTGCTCTTGTAGTTCTGTTCGATGCTCATCAACTAGACTTGAACCAACTACCCAACGTTCGAAACACTGAAGCATTACACATAATATGACTGGAAGTCACAAACTCTTACGAATGATACTCATGAACATATATTGGATACATATTTTTATTGCTTTCATTCGAATCTGTGTAAACAACATTAGTTGACTCATTCAATAAGGAAGCTCCTTATTAATTTATTTGGTTTTTGTTTTATTTCAAAGGTAATCAGGAGGCTTCTCACTGACAGATTGGTCTCAATGGTTGGTCTGTACACTTATATGTAGCCGTAAAACTAATAAAATGTTTAAACTGGAAAAATTGAAAATTATTTCTTGTGTAGAACGGGGTAAAAGGGAATTCATTATTGACAAAATTGGTTCGAAATGATCTTATGAAATCTACAAGTGATTTGTGAAGATGACGTTCCGCAAGAATCAGCCAGAAACCTTAACAGAAACGAAATTGAAGAAGAGGAAAGAAGTGCATAAGATGTTCGATATTCAACAAAATTTTCAGTGGAGCACAACACGAATGTGCATATGCAATGTGATCTTGATATAAGTGGGAAAAGATTGACAAATTAAAGATGACAGCAGCTAATCAACAAACAGTGAATCTACTGTGGAAATGCCATTTTCAACAATTTGAATGAGGTTATCGTTCCATAAAAGAGATTGTCATTTATTAACTATAAACCACGTAACGTGAGATGACTCTAGCAATTCCATACAAAACAATTCATAGAATACTTTTCAAATAGGGTCATAATTTGGATGAAATTTCACATTAGACTTAGAGATGATGGTTTCAGTAAATAGAAAATGTATGTAGCTCAGTGACTATATGTCATGTTTTATCGGAGAGCATGAACTACTCACGATTAAATATCATAATATTGGCATTGTAACCAACCGTAGTTAGTTTATGTTATCATTGTTTGCAGTTGTTGTTACCTGCCTGAGCATTTGAGCCATCTCCTTTATTAAGTTACTTGTTTTTGCTTGTTGTAATACACCACAATGTTTATTAATCTTACAACCAAATAAGGTGGGTTTATGAAACGTTTACAACGTTCCGCTGTACATGTTGCAAAAACCCAATCAAAAACATCGTAGTTGCTGGCAATATGCAACGAAAACAGTTTCTGGACTGCTAACTGGTGACCATTTATTCGTAGCACTCACAGATAACACGTTTCACGTGTGTGATGACTGACTGAGCCTTAGTTAATCAGGATTCATTTTATCATGTTTATCTCACATGTTTTACAGAACAAGCACTAAATACGATCAGCACATATTACAACCAGGTTGGTATTTTTCAAAGCGAAAACGTATTCACTTGGATGCAATCGCTTATCAACATGGTTAGTCCAAGGCTTAACTTTCTGAAAACAACTTCAATGTTTTCTGTTCAAACGAATAGCGTTGTGCACACTTCCAGTAGAAGCTAAATATTTGTCTATGTGAAGGTGTTTACGAGTAACTTCCAGCACATTGTTTATTAATTCCACATCACGCGGTATCTAAACTCTTCGACCGAAACATATATACCTATAAAAATATAGCAGAAGTGAAACTGAACTTATAATTGCCAAAATGTTTGATTAGTTGTGTTAAGTTTGTCTTATATTGTTTCTACTTGCTCCCTTTCCACTCCTTTGTATATTGTTTTATACTACTTATTTACATTAAGTAAGCAGTTGTATTCCCAGCAATTTTTACACTCATGTTATAATGCAAGTTGAAGTGTAATATTCTGAAATGTTCGCATATACTTATGACGTCTATTGTATTTATCATTATAATTACTGTGCCTTAATCACTGTAGCGGTTATCCACGGTTTTTTGCATTTGTTTAAACGCAATAGTTTCCATATTGTTTTGCTCTTGGTTCGCGTTTCGATTGTTCGTAAACTGTTATCAAATTTAGACACAGCTATCAGCTCACTTTTATGCTATCGTATGTTACTGTTACAGGAAGCCTTTTTATTTTCATACTTGAAGGACGTTTTTAAACGCCCCAGACACCTCACAAGTTGAGGCTTGTAACTAACTTTTGTGTATTATTCAATAAAGAACCGCTTTTGTAAACAAATAGTTGTTTTGTAGACTTCGGGTTTTCGCGTATCTCAATCGGGTGATTTGGACGCTTCGATAGATCTAAGAGTTCTCAACTTTGGTCCGAACTGTTGTGGATACTCGCTGTGACGAACTCTGGTCGGAATTCGGTTTGGTTAATTTGATCCGACAATGACAAGGACGAGAAAAGTGAAGTACAATGTCGACAGTTCTGAAGATACAGGCGATTCAAGCGCTGAAAATACTGTCTGTTAATTCTATCGAAGCGTCGAAGTAACCCCGATTGAGATACGCGCAAAATCGAAGTTCCAAAACAACGATTTGTCTACAAAAGCGGTTCTTTATTAAATAATACACAAAATTTAGTTACAAACCTCAACTTGTGAGGTGTCTAGGCGTTTAAACGCGTCGTTCAAGAATGAAAATAGCAAAGGCTTCCTGTAAGAGTAACATAAAGAATGATTACAACATACGATAGTCCAAAGACAGCCGATAGCTGTGTCTAAATTTGGTAACAGTTTATGAACAACCGAAACTCGAACCAAGAGCAAACAATATGGAAACTGTTGCATTCAAACAAATGCACAAAATTGTGGATAATCGTTACAGTAATTAAATTACAGTGATTATAATGATAAATACAATTATAAGTAAAATAAACGTTAAAGATATAGGTGAACATTCCAGAATGTTACAGTACAACTTGAGTTACAACATAAGTGTGAAAATTGTTTGGCACACAGCTGCCTACTGAATGTAAATAAGTAGTATAAAACAACATACAAACAGTAGAAAAGGAACATGTAGGAACAATGTAAGACAAA